GTCGCGCACGCCTCCGAGCGGATCATCGTGAGGGTGAGTGGCGGCGCCTCGGCGGCCGACGATCGGCTCCTCCGGGGCTAAGCGTCGCTCGTGCTTCGCAGGCGAGCAACCCCGGGCAGTTCGAGTCGGAGGGCAGCACGGCGGGCACCGAGAGCACTTGGCAGCGCGGGGCGGCGCCGGACAGCGTCTACCACGCCGGCCGCGTGGGCATCAACACCGACAGGCCGGACGAGGCGCTCGTGGTCCACGGCAACGTCAAGGTAGGTCGGCTCTGCCGGTGGACCGCCGCGTGGACAGCGCGATAAACGCGCGCGCGCGCCTGCTTCAGGTGACGGGCCACATCGTGCAGCCGAGCGACGCCAGAGCCAAGCAGAACGTGCACGAGCTCGACACGCGCGAGCAGCTGCGCAACGTGCAGCAGCTGAGAGTGGTGCGCTACCGATACGCCCCCGAGTTCGCGCAGCACTCCGGCCTGGGCGTCAGGACGCACGAGGACACGGGCGTCATCGCTCAGGAGGTGCAGCAGATCCTGCCCGAGGCCGTGCTGCCCGCCGGCGACATCGTTCTGCCCAACGGCCAGAGAATCGAGAACTTCTTGGTGGTCAACAAGGAGCGCATTTTCATGGAGAACATTGGCGCCGTCAAGGAGCTCTGCAAAGTAAGCCTCCTCGTCTTTCGTCGGTCATTCGTCGCGAGCTTCGCGCCCAAAGCTTACGATTCAACGGTGCGATTGGAGCACAGGTGACGGACAGTCTGGAGACGAGGATAGATCAACTGGAGAGGATCAACAAACGACTGGCTAAGTTAAAGAGAGGCGATAGTCTTAAGAGTTCGATTAGTTCGGTATCCAATGTGTCGACCAGCAAATACTCATCGATCAACGCCAAGTCTTCGTCGTCGTCGTCGTCGTCGTCGTCGTCGTCGTCGTCGTCGTCGTCATCGTCGTCGTCGTCGTCATCGTCGTCGCCGTCACCGCCGAGCAAATCCAAGGACAGGGACGACGAGCTTCTATGTAGCAATAAATTCATACAGATCATCATCGTCATACTGATTCTCATCATGGCATTCTGGTAACTATTGCCGCAACTCCCTCCTACACTTGAACATGGCTTCAACGACTGACAATTTACAGTCTCGTGGCGATGGCGACGCTTTACTTTTTGGAGTACCAGAAGCGTAGCAGCATGGAGTGGACGGCGATGGCAGGTAGCGGTATCCTCGCAATCGGTCCTTCCCACACAAACATGCTCCAGTCATCGTCGTCATCGTTATCGTCGTCGTTGTCGTCGTCTTCGTCATCGTCGTCGTTGTCGTCGTCGCCGTCGTTGCCGTCGTCGAGCTACGACCCCAAGACGAACCCACTGTTCCGCAGCACAGCATCGCCGTACACGAGGCACGGTACTCATCCGAGTACCATCACCGACCACAAGAATCTCAAGAATCTCATGTCCACGCAGTCGCCCAAGCAACATCTATATTCGCAGGAGATTACGTGGTATCCCATGAGTCATCACCCTGGCTCGCCGCCCAAAGTCGACAAGAAGTTAGTCGAAATTGCTTGCTTCGCTGGTGCGTTGCAGCCAGGACTGCCCGTCTAATGCCTGCTCTTTTTTATCGCGACAGTGAGTTTCCGAGCAATTGGCTGAGCAAAAATGGACCTGGCGCAGTACCCAGTAACGTCGACGAAAACGATCCGGGAACCTACGTAGACGCACCACCGACTACCAAGGGACCCGTTGCTTTGGGAAAACCAGCCGAATGCTCGACGCAGTTTGCCGAGCTTGAAAGCCCCTGCCAGGTGAGACTTCAGGAAACCAAAGCGTAGCGTCGACGCGCAAGTGCCGAACCCTAACTCCGAGTGACTCTCGACAGGTCTATTGCTGCACTGCCGAGATCCATCAATTAGAGAACCCGCAGAACGAGCCGCCCGCAGAAAAGAAAGCCATGTGTAAGTCGCCGCCGAACATTTCGGCAAATCTAAACGACGAACGCAGAGTGAAGGAAAGATTTTGCAATTCCAGCGGAGCACTTGGAGCAGCCGTTGAGCATACACGAAGAGAAGCGCAAACTGAGCAAGGGCCTTCAGAATGGCATCAGCCCTTCGGAGCCCAGCACTCAAACACTCGTCAAAGAAGTAAGTATGATGTTTGCGAACGGCAGTGAGCGGCACTCGCAGCAGCTCGACCGACGTGCAAACGAATGTCCTAGAGCAACTACAAGTACCTGCACAAGCGGAACCGGCGCAGCGCGGGTAGTGCTAGCGACTGGGGCGAAGTGGCGAGTAACGCCGCCGGCTCGTTGCCGCCAGAGCCCAAGCCACAGCTCTTCGTCTCCGCCAAGAGCTTCAACGCTTCGCTGGATCAGCGCTATTGCTCGGTGGCAGCCCCGAACGCGCCCAACAACTTCAGCTGCATCGTGCCTCTGTCCAAGTACATGCCCGACACGCAGTTGGCGCTGCGCTTCGTGTAAGTGTTCGCGGCGCACTTTCCCCGGGTAGATCCTCGTGTCCAAACTAATCCCGGTCGACGCGTCGACAGTGGGATGCCGTGGTACTGGCAAGTGGTTCAGCAGTGCACACCGCCGACGACAACCGGCCTCGACGAGGGGATCAACTGCGGCTGGGGCTTCGCTAACGGCAAAGGCTCGCCGCAGGCGCACTTCACCGAGAACCCCAATCAACCGGGCGACCAGTCTTTCCTCCTGGACGTTGCCAATTACATGCGAAAAACGCTGAGGTTCCGCGTGCCCATTGTGCAACCGCAAGAAGTGAGCATTACACGAAATCCAGCACAGCCAACATTGAAATGCGTGCATTTTTTTTTTCTTCTTTTCAGAATATTTGTAAGAACAGGCAAGCCGGCGAATACATCGAATTCGTGCTGCATTTCTATCGCGATTGCGAGGAATAAGAAAGAGATCGAGACAAAACGCTGCTGTGTACCCGCGAAACTCGATTGAACAAAGATCAACATAGGAGGCAGGTATCCGTATCGCTACACCATCAAGGTCAACAACTTTCATTACAGAGTTCGTCTCTCTCACCGGTACAAAGTGGAGGTTTGGCTTTTCCTTCGTTCGTCTTCTTTTTTTTTCGCTGCGTAACCAGTAATGCAATAATCATTGTCAATCAACTTGCCGCGCCGAACTCAAGGCAACTTTAACTACAGCGTCTCCTTTACAATCATTTGAAGATGTGCATGTTACGAAAAAAAAAGTCTTTGTTAAAAAGGCAACTGATTTCCGTAACGAACTACACGAGAGAAGATTTTTTTATGCGCACGACTTGATCATTGGTTAGTGCAATCTCTATCTGATATTACTATTAAGATTACGCCTTAAAAGAAAATTGATAGTAAAAAATAATATTGCAACTCTTAAAAATTATTCCAACGATTGTGTACGATAATTGTCTTTCGGCACTAAAACTCGAGTTTTAATACATCAATTTTTTAAGATGCAATATTAGATTATTGATGACGATAATGTTGTTATATATACAATGAGCGCATTGTTTATCTTGACTCTTTATTAATAATGAAATCTTCAACGTTCTTCTGTAGAGTTATCAGAATAATTATAGTTTTTAAAAAACTTACTCACATTTTTACGAACAAAATAAGAAAAGAAAGCTATGTGTACGTTTCGCAAAACAAAAGAACATTTTTATAATCGCTAAACATATCTCCATTAATCATACTTTTGTAGTGCCTTTTCGTAACTGTACGAACAATGAGGAAAAAGTATTATACAAAGTTTGAAGAAGTCTAATTTAGCTTTAAAAGACTCGCGTATTTTATGATTTTCAAAGAAAACTTTTAGTTAAGTCCTAGTGTTTAGTTTATTTGAGATTCAAAACCCCGTTGTTAATAATGAGTAAAGTTTAAGATCAAAATAATTATCAAGAATTTAGAAATTCCAAATAATTCTGATAACTCCTTAGATCAATAAAATTTACCTTTACTCGGATCTATAAAAATATATCTTAAAGTATACTTGTGTAGTTAAAAACTCATTCAAATCTATAACGTTCTTTTTGTACATAGTTCTCTATAATGTATTTATTGATGCACGATCTATTGACATAAATTTCATTCATGACATTGAAAATGACTTGAATTTTTATTTATAAGTATATCTTTAGTCAACAGATAGTTAGTAGAGTATATTGATAAAAAAGTATTTAGCGCGAGGTTTACAAATCTTATATTTTAAGTAATTGTAAATACATCGTTTTAAAGTATAATGTGAATTAAGTTTGGTCTACGTTTAGACGCTATGCCACTGATATTACATATCTATAATAAACCTAGAGCATTAATGAAATACGTTTTGTTCTTCATACTTGTTTATTTCATGTTTTCATTTTGGACTTTTTGTAAAAAGAATTTAAGCAATATACCTTATTGCAATTTATCGTTGTAGAATTAAGCTTGAAATCAGCGAAAAGTTGAACTGTTTGCACATTTTTATTGTCCGTTTATGTACGTTACACGCATTGAGATAATAAATGTAAGTAATTATATGACCATATTGACCATTGTCCATTGATTTTCCCAATAATTTCTTTCATATATCAAATTTACCTACTTATTACAAGAAAAATAATTGAATATGATATATTATACAAAAAACAACGAAACAAAAAAATTTTTTACTGCTTTTTTAATTTCAAGAATTTTATTGATTCTGTAAGTTAATCATGAGGATATTTCCCTTTATCGTGCCTTCATGTAATTTATTAATGTTTTTAAAATCATGGTATTTCAGATATATTTATTTTTTCATAGAGTTAAAGGATGGTCTTTTTTATCATTATAAATTTTCAATTAACATTTGGTCAAAGCTCGAAACTGAATTAATCAAGATTACGTAAATGTTAATAGAAGCTTATTCTAAATTTTATAAGTAAATTAAAGTATTTTGTAAATCATGAATGGTACATCGAATAGAACACTAAACCTAGTGTGTCAATAAATAATGTTGTATAATAGTAGGAAAGATAAAAGTATTCTACTAATTCCTAAAACAGGATATTTTCATTTAGGAAAAATTATGAAAGAACTGTTCTCCAAGACAGAGTTATTGATAAATGTTAACGTTTTGTTCTACTTTATTTCGTAATATACAGTCATGAGCTTTAATTTTGTACATTAAACAAAGGAATTTGTCGAAGCAGTATGAATATTAAACGAATAATAGAGCCATAGAAAATTCATTGCTCATTTCATAAATCATATAAGAAACTAAATTAAATAATTATACCTTTCTTGTTATATATATAACATTAAGAAATTAATAATTCGCACAACTTATTGATACAAAGTTTATATCTTGAATTTCCAACGATTCTTTAACTACATACATATATACACAAGTTTTAAATTTGCTGTTGCGACATTAATAAATACCACGGACACATTAGCCTCACAATTTTGCTCTGGTCACAAGTAAAAAGTTTCTTACGTTCACAAAAAAAAGGGACAAAACATTTACAATAACATGGTTTTCTCTCATTTTTCAATACAATCAAAATTCGCATTAGAGTAAATCACAGTCGAACGAGCACGTATGCGCACTCACACATGCTAATATCTATTTTGAAAACAAGAATAGCTTTGTATGTGTATGTATCTGTAACAAACATGATGATTTCGTTGGAAGCCATTGCCTGTTAAAGCTATAATAACGTTTGCCATCGCTTCCGTTATTATGTTTTTGTTTTTACATTTGTTTTACAGTATAATCACTATACAAGTATATAAAAACATGAAAGAATACAAATACAAACAAAATCTTTACAATAATCTACATGCACTATTACGCCATTGTTCAATACCTCACGTCGCACGAACGATGACGTAAAATAAATGGTTTATAAAAAATATGATCAATTTTACACGATAAATAAAAGTTTAGTATGTCGATGTGTGAAAGAATTATTTTTCCTTTTTATGTTCCTTCTCGTCAGGGGTTTCATCGCGAACAGCCAGTACCATCCTCAGCATAAGAACGGCGAGTACTTTGTCCAAAGGATCCATGAATCCACGTTGAATCCACTTTGGTATAGTAATGCGGGCATGAGAAAAGCCTAGTTTTTGCAATATATAATCGATGCCATAGGGTTCTATACTTTTACCAGCCCATGATAGGAGTCTGAAATTGATAAATGTACAATTATTTGATATATCCATTGTTTCAATAATCGAAGTGTTGTTAGAATTACGGATACTTGCCTGACAGTTGGCTCTAAGTGCCAAGTCTTACATCTGTATGATCGCCAGTCTTTAATGAACATCTCGGCGGGATCAAATTGCTTGCGTTTCTTATCATCCTCGGCAGACGTGCCAGTAGCTGCCGAGGTACTTGCTTGAGCTGCACCCTTGCGCTTAGTGGGATCGGGACTGTGGGCTCTAGCGCTGTATTGCATTGCATGCTGTAAAATATACAACTATTAGGATAATAGTTACATCAGCGTGAACACAATTATTCAGATTGATAATTACCACCCGTTCTTTTTCTTTGACGTACGACGTGATAAGATCATGCAAGAAGAAAAAGGCCTCTGCGTCAACTGTTACAAATATGTGGTCCTCGAATTCAGTTATAAAGCTGCACTCTACTAGCGGCTTTTCACCTGTCAACATTTATTTCATAAGTAACCTTTCTCTAGCACATTAATTAATCCTATCATTAGCAGTGCACATTTGATTATAGAATAAGTTGCACTCGAACATTCTGCATTTAGTTTCACATCAATTAATTAACTTATTTTTAATTGAGATTTTTAAGAACAGCAATGAAAATCCTCAATGTTTTGTTTAATACAACGTAGGAAACTTAACATATATTGTTCATTCGTTTATACATCAAGGTAAACTCTAGTATAATAATTTATAATATTCAGTAACGAAATGATGATATGTAATGAATGTGAATGTATCTAATTTCATGAAATGAATTTGGCTTTTCAACAAAAAAACAAACATGCGTCAGCGTCATTCCATATGCATACAATATCTTTTTGAAATGGATATCTGTAAACGATATTATTCTATTTTTCAGGATCTACAAGCCACTAATCTTTGGAAAACACAATTGTTTTCAACATAGTACTTACTATAAAGTATATGTTTAGGCAGTCCTAGAAATACGTCAACAGAAAGTAGCACATAGTCACAGAATAGAACAGTACATATTAATTATTGATATAATTCAAATGCTCCTTAGAATTGAAGGATTTACAGAAATAGATTTTTTTAATTATTACAGACGCAGAGAGAAAAAAGACAATGTAGTAATAATTATAATACATAAAAACAGTGCGACAACATTGTTAAAGAACAATTACAACTGTTAGAAATACAAAATGGATTATTAGAGCAAGTTATTAGAAATGTATCAGTATGTTAAGTAAAAGTCTTAAGTAAACATTAAAAAAAAATATTTTTAACAATAAATATTGTACTTAAACAACAAATGTTTATCACTCAGAAAAGTAAGTGTTTAATCTGTTGTTAAATCGTACAGATCTTTTGTGTTTAGTATGTACTAAAAATTTAGTGAAAAAAAGCAAAACATACCCATTACATCCGGAGTTTTGGCAGCTTGTAAATGTTCCGTTTTTAAATGTAGTTGCAACGATGGTAGTGAGAATATGACTTCTCGCGTATGGGAGTGTTCTTGCAGTTTTCCAGTACTGGTTGATGAATTTCTTCCTCTATTACTACCAGCTGATTCCGAGGTACTTTCGGTTCTCTCTCTTTCAACGCAAGGAAAGCGATCTACAGCTATATAAAGTATATAAAATATTATATAAGAATTTAAATTAAAATCCTATCTAGTTTTTATCACTCAAACATTAATTACCATCGATTTCACTGTTGGCAAAAGCATAGTGGAACCATTCTTGTAAAGTCTTGAATTGCGGAGGAAACAGGACACTTCGACTCATCCGACAAACAGTTGCCATAGAATGATGTCTAGTGTGCTGTTCTTGTTGTTGTCCCAAACTGATAGTTAAAGTTTGAACAACGTGTACATCGCTAGCGTTGGGTGCTGTATTGAACATTTTTGTCAATCGGAGTAATTTATATATAGTACGTATAGTTATTTTCAAAACGCTTACATTCTATGCTTGGAATTTCTTGAGCTTCCGTGGCGAAACTTATACATGGTTCTTTTAACGAAAATAGTGCCCAACTCTTGCACTTAAAATTGATACCATGGAAACATGCTAGACTGATGTTAGATCCATGTAGTTCCATTGTACCACCAAGAACCGTTCCGTTTGCCGGCAAAGCAAATCGTAAAGTTCCCAATTGTAATCCAGCTACTTGGCACAGAACTCGTTGCCAATGACGATGATGTCGAGCATCTGTTAGTGCAGCTTGTGAATATGCTGTTTATCAGAGAAAAATGAGTCCAAATTTAATTTAAATCTGCAGACAAAATTTAAATCTACCTCACAAATTTACTTGTATCGCTACTTACCTTCGGCATTACCACGTTTCTTCTGTTGCCTTCTTTTCAGACTGTTGTTACTGATTCTTTGCTGTCTAGTTTGTAAAGAACTAAACACGCGTTTGCTACTCTTGAATTGTTGACTAAAGAATTCATCCAACTTGTAAAACATTTTCAGCAGGTCAGCCGTTGTGGATTTACTTATCATTATTTGTAGTTGATCCCAGCCAAGGACACCATGTAGAAATATTATAGCAGGTCTGTTAAGTAGAAAATGACACATATTAAATTGATATTCAAAATAATACACAACATTTGAACATTAACCTTCTTGTAGGCATGAATGCGCCGCTACAAGTACTACGGTTAATTTTCCATTCATCTCGTAGAGTAACGTCTAAGGATGATACTCTGCACATTAAAACACTTGTGCCCATATAATCAAGTCTTAACTCCAATGCAAACAACTTTAAGCCGACTGTATGGTCAGGTTCTGTGTCAGGTTCTTCGCGAATGTGAACTATTTAAAAGTAATAATTAATATAAAGGAAAATCCAGAAAAAATAATGATACTCAGTTGTAATATCAGAAACTTACTATAAGTGTCAATTTTGCTAAGCTCAATGATACCGCCGACAATACCTCCCTTGGCGTCTAGGCTAGAGCCTCCTAAACCAATACCTATATACAGATTTTTATGTCCAGTACTGCCGATTGACAGTCTTCCATCTGAACGAAAATCTTTGGTCATCCAAGAAACGTTTCCCATTACATTGCCCATATTCATGTGTACATTTAAGCGAGTAAAGTTAACAGCAAATAGCACCAATGTTTCCCAAGCAGATTCTCTTACTTTTACTTCGGATGACTGTTTGTCACCAGTGAAACTCCATCCTCTACCAATGTCTGATAAAAAATCATTTAATTATTATTTACTTCTAGTAACTAAAAAACTTATTTGGATTCGCTAACTTGCCTTTCAATCGAATTTGCTTAGGTGTATCGCCATCAAAACTCAGTCTTAAATTATCTCTATTTAACTTTGGACTTCGCTCAGGAGTACTTTTCGACAACACATCGCTGCCATGGCGGTCATGTTTTAATAGAGAGCTCCCCATAGCTGCCTCCTCGCGGTTACGAACGTCGCCTTCGGAATAAGCCATACTTGAGCTAAGATCACCCAAAAATAAACGTCTAACAATGCTACGTCTGTACCAAGCTTTTGGGAAAGCAAGGATTTCAGTCAATCTTCGCATATCGTATTTGAATGAAGCCGAGCCGATGTCAACAATAGCTAAATAAATAAAAAGAATTTGAATTAACTATTGTTTTTTTAATTAAACTTTTACAGATTCAGATTAATTTCAATTATTCAATTTGTATAACTTATACTTACTTGAAAATCTTATAACAGCCCTCGGATCTCCGCTAATTTTTAATTGATCATTAGGGAAGTTCTTCTTTTTACTTCTCGATAAATGAAAGTTGACAAATTCAACATTGATGCTGAGTGAATCCTTTCTTTCGCTATCGGAAAGTGGTGACCACTGTGCTTCCTTAGGACCAGACTTTTTGCCACCGTATGGGTGAAATATGTACACAGAAAAATCGGCTAGACAACCAGTAACAGAAATTCCACCAGTTGCAGAGCCACTTTCTTTGCCCGACTTGTGTTCGCCGAATTCAGTGAGATCCTCTTCAGCTCGCTTTGATGAGACTACAATGTCGAGAGACGGAAGCTGTAGCATGCATTCGACTCGTGATACAGGCAAACAGGAAAATCTGAAGGTAAAAATATTTATAACAAAATTTGTAGCTTTTGAAGAAAAATTATTTTAGAATTTGTAAATGACCTGAACGTCGACGGCTGCATGTGAAAGTAAACAATAACGTCTACCGGAAAACTGGCATAAACGTAATTACTATTTGCAGCAGTCGCAGCCCATGAACTTTCCATGTTTTCCAGAGGGAACATAGCACTCTGCCCACCTGTCTGGAAGTTCATTTTACTTGGTATGGGTTCTAAAGTTTGTTCTAAAAATCCAAGTATGTGTGGACTGATGATTGTTTCCTCAGGAATACTTTGCAGTGTCATCCAAGCGAAGAGACTGGCTTTTTTAGTACTTGATTTTCTCATTAGGGACATCGCTGATGGATTCAAAAGTGGAGTATCAATTGAAATTCTTGGCGATAGGGACTCTTCGGATACTATTTTGGATTCGTAGTGAACCTTCAATGAATGATAAAAATCAGTTACGTAGGTTCTTTGGCAAAAAATTTTTATAAGGTATAATTAAAACTTACTTTAACATCTAGACCGGGAATGTGAAATATAGTCAAATCTACCAAAGGCACGTTCGCATGATGTACATATCGTAATCTAGATGAACTAGTGTTCGATTTTTCTTTACTGCGCTCATTCTTTCTACTACTGCTTGGACTACTGGCCTGAAACTCAAATGTACCTCCTGAACACGAGCGTTCTTTCTTCATTCGACTCATTCTAAAAATTAAAGATTTATTAAATATATATATATTATTTACACTATTTAAAAAAATCATAATTATTATTGTTTCACTAACATTTTTAATTCATCTTCTTTTGTTGGATCTTTTGTATGTAAGACACACTTGCCACTGTTAATCAAAACTTTGACATCGAGTTCAAAGTCTATGTTTGGTTCTTGTGGCTTTTGAGGCAAAAAGTATGGCGAAGTAGTGCTCGAAGTTGGATCAATAACTAATGATTCTAATAAGGGGATACTGAAATAAAAAAATATATTTTAATAACATTTTCTCTTTGAATGACTTAAAGTTCTCTAAATAAAACTAAACTACTTACTTTCCCTCCATACTGTCATAACTGGACGTTGTACTCATTTCTTTATTCTTCTTACGCAATTCCACTTGCTCACCGTCAATTTCGATGGTATCGGGCCAATCTAAACTCCCTTCGGGTAAACTCAGTTCCGATCCCGCGCTAGGCAGAGATGATTGCCTAGAATACGGAAATACGTATCTCAAGATTAATTTCAAAGGTACCGATATATTAATGATTTTTATGAGATATTATTAAAATTTAACTGACCTGCAAATTGTATGAGTATCGCTAAACGTTACGCGAGGCCCGCCAAGTCCTCTTACACGCAGAGATGCTGATCTATATTTATAATAAACTTTGTAATAAAGGGTATACAAGAAATTGAGTATAAAAATAAACACGAAATTAGTATGTGCAAAAAGAAAAACGTAACATTACGGTTTAGAATTGATTCAATTTTGCATTAAGAAATAAAAATAAGAATATCGCAATATATACCTGCTTGGGCCGCTTTTCGGACTGCTTTCATAGCTTGCCGAGTTGATCGTAGTTGTATCCGATTTCATATCTTCAGGACTACCTAATTGATTTTCAGGTGTTGGCGACGGAACAATGAAAGACCTTGATCTATAAGTTTGTTTGTTATTCCCGAGACCCAATTTCCCACGAATACCCGATGGTTTTACAGACTGTCTTCTCAGCTTTTGTATCCAGTCACTATAACGGATCGCTGTATTTATAACTTGGCTAACATAATGCGTAGTAAATTTAAACAGATTTTTATGGAACATTTACCGTCTAAAATCTTTAAAAACTAGAGCTTCCAATTCACGTAAGCGCTTCATTTCTTGCTCTATAGTCCCGTGTGATGCACCAAGAGATCGTAAGTCATTGATAATTTTAGCTTGCTCATTCATTTCTTTTTCAATTAACTTCGAGCGCTTCTTAGCATCGAGCGAAGGATCAAATATGAAAGCTGGTAAACTATCTGTCCAGTTTTTCTTTTTCATTAAGATACTTTCCTGGCTGGTACTGTTGTCTGGTTGATTAGCATCGTCACTATCGTAGTCAAGAGATGCACGAGCGTCGTCTTCTTCCGAGCCAGTTAACATTGTCAAAGTGTGTCCCAGAGCAGATAACTGCTGACCAACGCTCACGTCTAAGTGAATGTCAACACCCTCCATCTGCCACTGCACATTTAGAATCCACTTTGCGTTTTCGGTGACTCGGGCTGAAAAAAGGATGTCGTGAAATAAAAATCATAAGTAATAATAAACAAGAATTAACTTTATCTCGTACCATTTTTGTCTTGTTTTTGAGCTATTGTTCTGCTACATACTTCATACGTGCCTTCAGAAACAACGCATAAATTCATAATGCTACTATCATTTACATCAGGTTTCCAATCGTCCAGTGATGTTTCAAAGTCTTCGGCGAATCTCAAGCATAGGCCAACAAATCTAAAATCATTTAAATAAATACCAGTTATTGTTGATAAAATTATAAATCATAAAACATTTGTTTCATCAATGTAATTAACTCACCTTCCCTTACTAACTAAGCTACCACTACTACAAGCAGAAATACTAGTATTCTCTAAAGTTATAACAACAGCTCCTCTAGAGTCGCCTTCGTACATTCCTCTATTCAAACCCCAATTTGCAGGTGGCAATGGATTCAATGGGATGCAAATACCCATGTCGTCAACAGTCAGTTGTAAGAACAAAGTTCCTAAATTAGGAGAGCTAAGTTGACTAGTTAATTGACCGAACGGTACTTTCTCAAACACTTGTTGAGTGGCTGTCAGAACTTCTTTGTTCAAATTTGATCGTTTCTCGTTCCAATATTCGTAAGCATTTTTATAATTTAGCCAAACAAGAATGGCTTTGTCAACTGCCATTGGCTGGATATAAATCAAAGGTCTCTTCAGAGTTATCAGAACAACTTCTTTGTCTTCTTTTTCAGCCAACTCTTCTTGGAAGGCATTTCGTAAACCAATACGAGTATTGAAGAATGCATATTGTTGAAATTCCGGATCTGCTTCTTCAAACATGACATTTTTAATAAGCTGCCCAAGACTGAGATTGATTTCGACTTGAGCTTTTCCAAATAATTTCGAGTATGGATTTGGCTGCGTAGCACCAGAAACATTTTGAACGCGATTTGAAAGTTGAAATTCGAAGGATCCTGTTTCCAGTCGTACTGCTGAGTTGGTTGGTGTTGTTGCCGTCAGTTGAATTCTCTATAAAACGTATACACTATATTACAAATATTGACTAAGCCTTTTGTATAATTAAAAAATTGAAGTGATTGCTCTTACCTTAATACGAATAACAAGTGAAAACAGGATTCTTTTTAAACTAGAAGAGGTTCCAGGTTCTTCGTCTTCAAGCCATAACGGCACTGGTTTCTCACCGCCATAAACTTTCTGCACAACTTCATTTACTTCTCTCATAAAAACTTTCTGAACAAATACCAAGTGATTCAGAAGATCTGTAGTCAAGGAATGTTCAAATATACCAATATCAGCTGTGGCACTCATGTAGCTTCCTTGTCTGAGTACAACACCATCTGAAATAATAGTGAGACAAATTGTGATTAATCTTTTGCAATCAATGTTAAAAAACGTTGTAAACTTTGTATAATCACCTGCAATTTTACTATCATTTAAGTTACTACCGCCATCCTGAATATATTCAGCAGAGACATGTACTTTCGGTAACTCTATGCTAGCTTCAGATGGCAAATTGGCTTCAGTTACTTGTAATTTTGTGGTGAAACTCAGACTATGATTTGGTAAATCAATAGTAAATTTAGCCTTGCTGCCAGTAATCCCAGAGCTATTCACTTGATCCATTTTATACTGTGCTTGTAACGACGGAAGCAGCGCTGCTGTTATACTCAGGCTTTGCAAAATAATATGGAATTGCATCACGATAGGCTCAAGAAGACTAGACACAGCTTGACATTTATCGAGATTGACTGCAGGAGCTGTTGGATATTGATGAGGACTGCTAGGCACTCCATCAGTTTCTTCAGCCTGTTGACCACGAGCCATTCGCGAGGAAGTCCTTGCTACACGTAGTTCCTGTACGAAAATTGTATATAAATGAATTATATTTACTGTAAAATGGTTTTGAATCTCTATATTACATATTTTCAATCCATTTACCTGGAGAGTCGATGACAATTGCTTGCTACCTCTTGTCATCATGCCATGCAAAGCGACAGGATGCTGAGGAATATCGATATTAACAGCACCGATTGTTAGCAAACCGCTATTCTTATCTTTCTGCCTTCTAGTGACGCTCGAATATAAGGCCTGTGATTTCCCCACTGTTACTTTGACGACAGTCTGTTGACTAGGTGCTACACCCTCCAAAAGAACAATCATCGTCCTTCCAATTTGGCCAGTCAAACTACACTCTAAGCTTGCAGGTCGAGTCTTTTTACGGCATGTTAAACTTGCATGTAAACTAGTTATCTCTGCTTCTAGTTTAAGTCCACTTAGTGTAGCTAAAAGTCTTGTTCGATGTATTCTAGCTACTCCAAAAATAATCAGTCTTGTTCGCTCACCAGTGACGACGCCTGCATCAAAATATATATATTGTAATTAATCTTTAAAATAATTAAAAATACTGTCGCAAAACTTACTTAATTCCCGAGGAGGAGGTACAGGAGTTGAGCTAGTCTCTGCGTTCAAACCTTTTTCTACGTCAGCCTCTTTAATATCGCTCAAATTCTCATACTTTTTATTTCCCTTGTAACGTTCCGTGGTGTCTGCAGGCACCGACAGTCTATGTGAGATCATTTTTGTTTCTGGTTTTATGGCGTACAAATCCAAAAGGTGATATATTGTTTTCCAGCATCTTGGCGCTATGATAGATACAGTTTTGACTTTTTCTGATAATATACTGAATTTATCTAAACCTGAACTACTTGGACTAGCACCGAAGTTTGGCGTTATGATGCCTTCGCTCAAGTTCATGTACCCTTTGACGCTTTTTCCGGTACTGCGTAATTTTTGCGTAAAGCTTTGTGGCCTTGAGCGTAAACTCGCTGACGGGGAAATCACTTTGGGCTGAGGGTTATTGGTTACGGATTTTGTTGCTACTTGCTTTTCAGCCTTTTTCATCGCTACTGTAAAATGTTCTTGTAAATCAGAAGCTGAAATCAGCACGGTATTTATTAAATACATATGATAAGCAATTTTGTATATATTAAGAAAAAATGGAAAACATACTTGAAGAGGAGCCATTTTTCGTACGAGTGGTTATCACAGTATTTGCATTTATTTTTGCGTCCGGTTGTTGCTGTTGAGCTTTTAGCTCCATTTGAGTCTCCTTAACGTTTTGATACATGTTACTAATCTGATGTAAAAGTCTCAAAAGTGGCATGTTAACTTGTTGACTAATGTAACGTATGTTTAAGCTAAAATTAACAACAGTGCTGGTGTGCTTTTTTAATTGACCTCTTGAAATATACAGAACGTTTTGTTTTTGAATCATATCGTCGACAGTCATATCTGCCATTTTTTTCACGTCAATGTCAACTCCAATCTTTTCACAGAGAAAGGCAGGCATTTCCGGCGGAATATCCAAATGAAACTTTGAACCTGATTTCTTCGATTGGTATTTGTTATCTATAAATAAAAATATAGGTAACATTTGAGATTGTCAAAGAGGGCGTTCATTTGAAACTTACTTTTTTTCTTGTCCGGAACTTTGCCGTGTTCACTAACAACAATATCGATTCTCATGGTTTCCATGCTACTAACTAAAGACACATTTGAAGCCAATGAGTCCAGAGAGGAAACGTTGTTAATATTTCCAGAACTAATGGCAGAAAGCATTTGTTGCGGCATCACCGACAAAGACGACAGTAGCGGCTCGAAGATTAGATGCGCATCCAGCAACCGAAGCGAGTCTTTCATGGTATACAAGAAAGCACCACTTTGAACGTCAGAGTCTTCTGTGTCTTCAGTCGTCATGGTATTAACTTTAGAGTCCTATTTTTATAGAAAATAATTCAATATTAGGATTTAAAACAATGAATAGTAATAAAAATTAAAAAAAAAATAGGTTGACAATATAGCACAACATGAAAAATGAAAAATGAATAAGTAATAATGGATATAAACTACGCAACCAAGTAAAACGAAGGAAAGAAAACAATAAAGTCACAGTATCTAATAAACAAGTTCGTTTGTGAGTTTATATACCTTGGTAACCTTTTGTTCGGTATGAAAGACCTGCATAAGAAAGTGTAATAGTCGTTTCTCATATGTATCGTGAAGTGAAATTCGTTATTTTATTGCGTTATAGAAAATGGATGTATCAATATTATAAAGTAAAATAGAATAAATGAACTTACCCAGTTGCCTTTGAGATTCCCCTTGTCGTGCTCCTTCATATATTCCTGTTGCTTGGCCATCCAGCTGTACAAATCCTCACCTAAATTGACGGGTTTGCTTGAGTGATTTGTCGGTGGAGAGGTGATCTGGTCTAGACTAGTTGTGCTGTGCTGACTGCCTCCGTGACCAACATTGCCACCCGAGTATATGCTCGGATTTGATCCCAGTTGGTGGTGAGAAATGTATATGTGGGGTGCTTTTTCTTCACGTAGTGTGCCGTAGCCTTTTTTTCGACAAAATTCACGTGTTACTTCATCACCTTTTTTTTCTATTTTATTTTCGTTTTATTTTCCTTTATTTCACAGATTCACAATAATGCTATTCAAGTGTCATTTTTAGCGTGGTAAAGCGTACTTGTCAAATAGTTAGTTGATACACATTGGTAAGCAGAGTTAATACGAAATTATAGGGATCAATTGGACGATCAAACTGATTTATACTACAAGCATTTGAAACACAGTACCTGGCTACGAAAAGAACGATAACTATCATGTGCTAAGCAATGGATACTAATCTACACGATCACTGTTGAGTGATAAAAATTATTGGAGAATATCAAATGATTGAATTATGTGATTTATAAGCTTTATCTTTTTTTGTCGTCAATCGCTAAAAATCGCGAAGCACATCAGGGAATCCTTTCGAGGCCAAATTTTTTAGCCGGTGTACTCACTAATGGTGTTGGGTTCCTTAGACTGATTAAAAAGTCCACCGGTGGTAAGCAACGGAAAAGCGATACTGGCTCTGGCGCTGGCGGGTACTTGAGTTGGCTGTAATGTTTTGGCTGACTTTTGCATAGGTGGTGAAGTCACAGAATCTGGTGGGCCTGGAATCGGGGAAGTTGTGTCTCGCTCGCGGGAAGAACTCACTGGTACTGTCAAACCACCGACACCGCTACCGCAACTCACCATACCTACTTCGTTTGATATCGAGATACTACAGTGTTAAGTATTGGGGAATAAGTGTCAATTAAAAGCGGTTACGGGTTAGAATCAGATCATGGAACACTTTTTCACTCGAGTTAGATTACATATGTACATTAGTTTGCATATATACAATTGATTCAGCATGGTAAGCATAGGCAGCTAAAACACATCTATAATTACTTCAAGTTTTTCTGTCACATGTGCATGGGTTTTACTTTTCTTACTAAGCAAAATATTAATGATTAAGCGCTGTTGAGATTACTAAAAAATGTTTCTTTACATCTACGTTTGATACTGCCTAAATCTCAAAATACTTTTGGTCTTTATATCTACATTAGTATCATAAGATATATAAAATGAAAGCATAAAGGAAACTTGAAATAATTTTGATATATATTGTAGCTTTGTGCAGCGGTGGATTTGAGCATCAAATTGTTGATAATACCTGACGTTCGTTCTTGACCTTTTGAGTGCAAGTGTTTGTGCATGTGATCAGCGTGGATAAGCATTGCACATTCGTCAGTCACTTCTTGCTCATCGGCATCTCCACCACTACCTTCGCCGTCGGTCATGATGTTTTCCTAAAGAAAGCAATTATTCTTTTACTTTTGCCCATAGCACTATTAAGTGATTTGTTAACATTTTACCTCCTCCGGGTCCGACATGGCAAATGCAACGTTCAACGGCTTGATGTGTTTCGTTTTGTAGTTGTGCTCCAGTAACAACGGAGTGTAAAGTACATTTTTCCATTGTCGACTTAGAACTATCACTCCCTAATAATTATTTTAGTAAATTTTTTGACAAAAATTATAATATAACCATAATCATTAAGTAATAAGTTACCTGTCGTAGTGTAGATAACGTTGGTAAATCAGCTTCACGTAGATTAGCCTCAGTAGTTTCTAGATTTGTCAGTAAAATGTAATTTTGAAGAATACTGCATAACTGACAGGATGGATCTTCTTGTAACGTCTTTGCAAGTGGTGTTAACTTTCCGTACCGACTCTGAGGTCATTTGAGCAAGAACGTTTTTTTTTAAATACGTCTATTCAATGAATCAATTATGCATATAACAAGATAATATAATACCTTCACGGGCATATGAATAGCCTGCATATCTAATGCCTCTGCCATAAGACACGCGACAACAGCCGTTGACCTGCGATACATGCAACGGAACATATGAACAACTTGAATGGCGAATCTGTTGTTCGGATTCATCCATGCATTTATTGCCGGTGAAGCAGTACTGAGTAAATTCCAATCCAATCGAGTATAATCAATTTTACGGGTGATTGGTGTTCGCGGTGGAGCAGCAAAATTGAACCACACAGTTCTCAGCTCTATTACACAAGATACAGTATTGCCACTTGCTGCCTTCGCTAGGGCCATGGCACTTGTATTCACTTGTTGCGTCGAATTGTTAAGATTCGATGGAGCTTGAATTGACTCTTGTTCGAATGTTTCCGTTGTCGAATCTACAAATATGCAACGTTATTCATCTGTACTAGAACTGTTATTTACTAAATATATATTCAAATGAAATTGTACGTACCAGCAGTATTATTGAGATCATCTTGACTTTTACTGACGTTATTATCTTTTTCAGAAATTTCAGTCTCATTTTCATTTTGTCCATTATCACCTTTTTCAAACTGAGATCTCTTTACAATTTTGAGTTTGATTCCTTCCAATCCACATTCAAACATGATAAAACCTAATTTGTCTTCTCCGCAGCCTACAGTGAATTCTTCAGTTGCTTGTGGTGGGCTTGACTGCTTCTATAAAATCAATAATTCTTTATCAAAAGGTTCACAAAAAATTATCATTAAGATAAATAAACGTACATTTTGTTTATCTTTTTCATCTGGCGGTTGAAGTAGATAATAGTCAATACATTTTAATGGGGATGTGATTCTAGTACAAGTAAACAACACTCGAGAGTAATATGATGGAATTGCCGTTATGACGGCATCCTTCAAAATGGAAGACTCGTTCCTTAATCGTCTCAATTGCGTATGAGCTTTTCCTGTAGAATATAATTAAAATTTAAATACATTGCTAAAGATTTGTCAAGTAAAATGTATACTTACCAATATTTAATGTAACAATTATTTCTTCTTGTTGCTTTTCAGAAGTTTCTATGTATACAGTCTCTCCACCGCCAATGTCAGCAACGACAGCAGTAGTCTGATGTCCTGATAAAAACGCTTTAGTGATTTTATTAACTTTTTTCTGATTAGGTAAAACCGCTGGTTTGTGAAAAGTTTGGACAATTTCTCGAGCTTGTTTTCCTAAATAGAATCTTGCCGTCACATCATCCAAGCAAATCGCAAATAATGATACACACGTTAAGTCACGAATATTATCCAAAGCAGAAAATGATATGATTTCTTCTACAACAGAAGCTTGTAATAGCGTTACGTTTATCTATAAAAAATATAAATAATTATACAATAATTTTTTTATTCTGCGTATTTCATCAGTAAGTATGCGGAATTTAATATTTTTATTCTGTTTACCTTTGGTAGAATAATACTTCCTTGTATTTGCGTCGAAATACATTCCTCATATACACTCGTTTGTAAAGCCACTTTTCCTGTAAATGAATACAATAAAAATTACAACATATACTTAGATTTATCGACAATGAAAATAAGAAGTCAATATACCATCATCATTCTTCAAATTTCTTTCTGCCGTTGAACGTTTAGAACTAGTTTGTACTTGGCTCCAATAAGATAAGCTCTGATCCTGCTTGAGTATATTTGCATCTTCAACCCTTCCAATGCATTCGTTATGCAAATGATTAAGAATCGTTAAAGGATGTAGTGTAGACAGAGTTGGAATTATTGCATCGATAAAGCGTTGAAGACACTCCAAAACTAAAGGACTTATCATAATATCAATGTCTCCTTTGAGCTTTACAATGATTGTCGTTCGATATCCAGTTTCATGTTGGGTAGCTAGAAATTCTTCTTCCCCGTGGGTTACAATTTCTTCTCCTTGTAAAATAGAATTTTTTTAATTTTCTTTAGTTTATCATAAATAGACAAACATATTTACCTTCTGATTGAATTAAAGTAGAACTATCCCATATGTATGGATGAGTTGGCGTTTTATTTGACGAAGAAGCTTTTGGTGACGATTCATTACGACTAATCATTTTCAATGACGTGAATCCTTCAGTCATCACTTCGTATTTTGGAATGTACCGTCCTCCAATGTACACGAGTCTCCCATCATCAGTTCGTTGAAATACCGGAGTGGTAAAGGCATCGCCACTACTTGGTAATGACGAAGTTGACCAGTTACTGCAACGCACCTGTGAAAATTTATAAACTTTTATAATTTGTAACATTTTAAAAATTACGCATTCAATCCCGCTTTAAATTACCTGTGACAAATGACTGACGTAACTAGACATCAATAAGGGTGAATCAACAATTGGTTTGTTCACTTGCATATGTAAATTGACTAAGGTCATATCTTCCTGAGATGATACAGCAGATATAAAACTAGTAGAAGAAACGGAATGACTATCAGATGAATCTTGTAATAAAACATTTCCATTCTCTGTTGCTTCGGTATCTGATTGGAAATTAGATGTAGCTTGAATTCGAGTACTTTTTCGTGAACTTGTCGACTGAGGCTTGGCCCGTTCTAGCGTATGAGCTTTTTCCGGAACATTATCGGCTGCATGAATTGCATTTGCGGAACTCTCGACAATAGATAAGTCCGATAAGAATTTCTTTTTGATGCACTCATTTTGATTGGGAACAATTGCAGAACCAACTAATGAGTGTCGTAAACTGGAATTATGACTTCCACCTAAGCCATGACTGGTATCTTCATCAGCTGAATAGAACGCTTCCGAATGATTTTCTGATGACATTGACACTGTTCTTTGAACCTATAAAAATCACGTTTTTCATATTAAATAAAAATTCAACAAATAATTGCAATCACATGACAATATTACCTCTTGGAGTAACTTGTCCTCTGAGTCCGATTGCACATACAATGATTGTTGTGAACCTGTCATACGTAGTGATTCACTATCCGTAGGCAGAGCTTGACTAGCTCCACTTGAGTCGATGGGACTTATCGGTATAATTGGAGGACTAGGGGCACCTTGTTGAAGTGACTCTGTTTCTTGTATATTGAAATAATCTACAGCCAATTTAGAATCAGATGCACTACTCTTGGGTGTTCTTTCGATTTCTGGAACACTTAAATTAGATTTACTATGTTGAGTATTTAACTTAGAGTCTGAATCTAATTTAGGAGGCAATTGTGCGGCGGGACTAGCATCAAATAAACGAGCATATGGAACATCTCTGGTACTGTTTCCTCTGAAAAAGAATAAATAAAATAATTTAATTAAGGTATGAAAATGAATGTTTTCATAAATAAATTAATTACCTCTGCGAAGTATACGAAAATCGTCGACTTAAAGATTTTTTGTTATTTCCGCTGAACGGACTAGTTGAAGATCCGCTAAATTTAGCACTGTCACTTTCTCCGATACCAGATCCTTTACTCTGACTGATCACAGATTTAGATCTTTCAAAAATTATTTTTGAACTGTTTGACCGGTGAGATGGTTCTCCAGATGTTGATACAACCGTATCTTGAAGTGTTACATCTTGTAAACTATACGGTGGAGTGTGAAATACTAATTGACCTTCGTGTAAAATTGATTGAGCAAATCCTTTATCTATTCCAGGTTCGAAGATTCTGCAAATGAATGTTATATCATTATTATAATCAAAACCAACAGAAAATATGAATATATATTGAAGATTTAAAAATTTACCGGTAAGCAGCAATATTGATACCTTCCTGCAAATCGTGATAACTTGGTTTGAAAAACCTTGGTCCATTTCTGTTGTTTCCGAAAAATACACAACCACCTATGCACCCGCATTTGGCGACTTTAGCACCAGTTTCTTGCGACCATAAAAACCACAATCTTTTCGTTTTCTCATCATGAGTTTTCAAATAATTATTTTGAACAACGTGTAAATTATGTTCGGGTGTTGGAAGCGACATAGCGGCTTCAATAACAATAGGTCCCATTGATACAGAACCAACTTCTAACCAGATATCAGATCCGTCACCTGCAGATATAAAAAAGCCTATATATAATAATATTTCTAGAATTTTCAGTAACTGTATATGAGAGGAAGAAAATTATCATATAAACCTGATAATCGACTGCTGGCATTGTTATGAGATTTGCCACTGGCAGTAGTATTAGTGTTACTTGTATTGGCAAAATGACCAGCTGCCGAAACGAATTGTCGAACGAGAAGTGTAGGTAGTATCGCTGTTATTCCTGCTTTTACTTGTTGTCCGTGTAAATTACAAGTTGATACACGGATAGGCGAAGCCCAGATTTGTGTAGCAGTGCCACTTTCTTGAAGGTACAAATCAATAGAATCGATAGCCACGCGATTCATTCTGTATTTGATATCTTCAGAACTGGGACACCTGCGGGATTTTTGATTTTGTAATTAAATTATTAAATTAATTAATAATTTTGTAATATGAAGTAATTTAAACAAAATGAACAATGATAGAAACCTGTAATGCTTATCGATATCACTATCTGCACACTGTAAGGGTGGAAGACCATGATGACAATGACTGGGTAAACCTGGAGGTTTCAAATTATTTTCTGAATTTTTAGCCATAAGCAAGAATGTTTCTAGAGACGTGATCAAATGATGTAATTGAGGGGAAGTTATTTTTCCACTTAATTTTCCTAACTGCACTTCAATCAACCAAGCATACTCTAAAGTCTCCTGATCCAAACTTCTACCCTCATTACTAAACATTGCATGTCCCCTAACTTGCAATGCACTCAACATCAAATGGCCTTGATTCAGATGTTTCTCTTTGTTAGATCTCGGAACGTTATCTGATAAAAGTAAAATTGCTGGAGAAAGTAAGAGCTGCAGCTGAGTTTCTCTGAAACTTTTCTTCATTTCAAAACCAAAGCGCTCCAATAGTATTACTGGACATGGTGGGTCATCGTCATTGCAATTCTTAACCAAATGTGCTTGAATATCGTGCATAGTTATTCCTACAGTAACGTCAAATGGACGATAGTCTCTTGGATCGAATTGCTTTGCTCTTGCTTCTTCGTCTTCCATCGACGTCTCAAGACTACTATTTTGAACATCACGATCTTTGTTCTTGTCTAATTTGGCGCTTGCAGAAGTGGTCCGAGACTGTTGCATGTCCGTAAACAACTGATAATCACCAAAAATATTTTCTTTCAAGTGTATAAAATGTTTAATGAGAGATCCATTAAGAAACAGCACCGAGGGACCAATTTCCAATTCGAGATTGACCAGATCAGGTTCTAATGTTGTAGGGTCAAACTTCTGAGTAGCTTCTTTAGCCCACTGCATTGTTCCTGCTCCTGGTGATTTTCTGCTTCTAGGTATTCTAATTGGTAACAACAAAAGTTCTTCTTTCTCTGGTGTTGTGATATTTGCTTGTGGCTGTGGACCCAACGGCGGACATGGATGATACGTATAATTGATACTTAGAGCTACAATTGGAACAGACCAGCAGTCTATCCAACCTGATCCTCTTTGACACACGTTACGCCATTTCTTATTTTTATTAAGATCTGACATTTGTTTTACACTACCATCTCGACAGAGAATTCGTGCATTTTTCTCTAGTGCTATGAATACATTACGGTTTGTGTTCACTTCTGGTAAATAAAATGCTAGATCCACGCTCTCACCTTGTATCCAAAATCGTAAAGGAACAGTTGGTGGTAGAAATTCAACAAAAGGTAATTCAAATGACAGTTCAAAGTTTTCTCCACAGAAAGCAATATGCGAATTTTCTTGATTCTGCGATGAACAATCGATCCAGTTAAATTCATTGCATAATGTAATTATTTCAAATTCTTTAAGCAACAGACTGAACTTCCATGTGTACGGCACAAAGTACATCAGATCGGGTATAGCCTTACTAGCCCAATCCATGATTAAGTCTTGAAAAAACTCTTTGTGGGAGTAAACTAAACTCGCTGTGGCTTTGCAACCAGTCAAATTCAATGTCCAAATTTGCTCATCATTCCAAATTACAGGATAATAACACTTTACATTAAACTCTAGCGTTTCACTTTCCACTAAACTACGATACTGTAAACTAGTAGTTGCTTCCAGATGTAATAATTGACCAGTGATTTTAGTTGTATATCCATCCTGAAGTACAATCCAAGGCATCGTTATTTCCAGGTATGAGCCTGCACCAACGTTAACATGAACAGCATTGGTTTCCTTATTTTTACTAAATAATATATCAATTGTTGCTTCGTTGAGTGTAGATAAACGAATATCGAATGAGTGAGCTTGTCTTTTATCACCAGGTACTGGAGCTGTTGTTACTTTCAGAGGTTGATAATCAGTAGGATAGAATAATTTATACAAATGTTCTCTTTGACGATCAGCCCAAGGTCCATAACTGAAATCTGTACCCTTTCCACATTTGATATCAATACCCCAAATAGGAGGCATAGCTTCAACCATATCTCCATTTGCTAGCCTGATCATTTCTGGTTGCTCAGGAACGACACCTGGTTCATCCATATAATAATAAAGTTCCATGTGATTTGAACTCAAAACTACAAAGCCTTCTCCCATGAAACGGGGTGGTTCATCGATCATTCCTGTATACTTTGGACTGGGAGCTAAAATAACTTTAAAATTTTCAGCCTTGCATTTTGTTATATGCATAAAATGATCATGTTGAGATGCAGCTGGTTTTGTAGAATACATAAAATGAGCTTCTTCTACATTGACAGACAATGTAGTTGGTACTAGACAATTACCAAAAACTAATCTTCCCTAGAATGACAAATTTTGTATTTAGATTCATTTTACATTCTTACTGCTAAAAATATTTACACTAGAATATACATACTGTACAAACATCTACTTTAATAACTGGTATTAAATCTCTCCAAGTCCTGGCAATAACATAAGCTTCTTTTTTCCTAATATTATCAACATGTTTTGATACATCAATAGTTGTGGATGCTGGCTTGTTTCGTTTTTTCTTTTTGTTTTTAGTGTCTGGTTCTTGATTATCAGTGTTGGTTGTATGAGTTTCCTCAGGAAATATTTCAGGTGGAAGGCCAAAAGTTTTTTCTAATTGTGCATAGAGTTCACAGCGATTGTAAACATGTAGTTCAAAACCATTTAATAAAACAGAAAGACGAGTATCGGAATGTGATAGATCTGTGATTTTTAAACAAAATTTCATCAATAACACATTTATGAATTATTTATTTATTTTTTATATTAAATCTAGATTTTAATCAGTAATTTTCTATACCTTCGGAAATATTCTTTGGAACATAATTTCTCCACCACCTAAATATAAGATATCCATCTTGAACTCTTACAGTATAATCTGTCGTAATGTAAGCAATATCTCTGAACATTATTTTTCCACTAAGAGCACACAATGTAAAAGATCCTGAAATTAAGTAGAATAAATTATGGAGCAGGATGTTTAGAATAATTTGAAATTCTACGATACAGATACACATACCAACTTTGATGTACTGGTATTTTCCAACAAAGCGATTCAATAATTTTGTCAAAATGTACCCAAGTACTCTACTGTTATAATAAGTTATATAAGTTAGCCAAGAAATAGCTGATACTAATGAACAGAGTAACCACATGAAATTACTATCCATTTTAATATTTTCAAGATTGACATGATCGGAGTAGTTCCAGTATGCTGGGGACACCCCCACCAAGGATGGAGGACTTGTAGGATACAGTACATCCCCCATAATTGTTGTCTATTATTTTTTAGCCGAGTCAAAGTTGATCATTCTCTGGAATTAAATAAAATAAATGTAGTTTTTGAATAATTCTTGCTATTTGTGAGCAAAATCGAGTATCAATAGGGATGAGTTACAAGTATTTTGTTTCCATCCATAGTACATTTTTTATGGAAATTGAATATTCAAACAAATTAATTGATCAGAGCGCCTAAATGAGGAATATAGAAATTGAAACGACAATCGAATTGAACCCACCTTCCTCTTGATAACACAAGCACAATCTTATTTGGAAGAATTCTTTTATATCTTCGTCCATGGCAATCTGTATTTTCATCTTGACATTCATGGTGTTTTGTTTACGCGCTACACATTTCAATGACCCACAAAGAGGTACTTAGTATTAGCAATAATTAATCGTAGATAATGCTGCTGTGATAAGGGGTAGTGTTTTTGGGTTGTACTTCATGCTCCATATCAACAGCTATGTCATAACATAGAGCAACGCATTTTACATGGCGTACAATTAAAATACTTGAGTAGACGCTTTGAACGGCGTGACGAATGCAAATGCACTAAACGTATGCAATGAACGAGTGCATGAGGACTTGTAATGTTCACGCACACACAAGTAATCACCCGTCTATCTAATAACTACGTAAGCAAAGCAGACGTCGATTCATCAGAGATTGAGGTGTGTGTGTATACGTGTATAGAGACACATTAGCACTTTTTATAGGTTATGTATTTCTCTGCGAGTTTTCTCGAGAACAGGCAAATGGGGCTTTGACAGCTCAGACATAAGTAATGTACTGTTGAAGTACATACAACAACGTACTACTCTTGTAAAAAGTTATTGACGTGACAAGGATAGAACACGCAAACCTATTTGCATTTATAGAGTGAAAAGATCAGGGGAAAGGGGTAAAGAGGAAAGGTGCAAGAATGTCAGCCGTTGGTCCAAGATCTGCAGGTGGTAACTCTATAAGGTTGAGTTGACTGCTTCCAACGCCCCCACAATTCACAGGTGGGCACAAGCTACAACAATGTGTTTGAAGACGATACGTTCTCTCAGTGGATAATCAATCGAACATTATGGTATCGTTACGAACTTATAAATACATTTCACGTGTTGTAATATATTCACATATCGCGTTTTATTGCAATAACTGCAACTGTTTTATTGTAATAACTATAATTATGGTTGGAAGTTTCATATATGAATTACCTATATGGGATAATGTGATGTATAATGGTGTTGTCAACAGTTTGCGTTTGTATGTGTGTCGTTTGAAAACTGCGATAGAACTAGAAATTTTATTTACAATTAGAACTCGAATAATTTATGCGCACGTTCGGTATAATAATAATAAATAATCATTAAGTAAGCCAAGTGTTACGCAACAGTCTAATCGTACCGCAATTTGGATGAGAATATATTTACAAATGCAGCTTTTCCATTATTTGTGTATCATGTTTTCTCGTTAAAAAAAATCCGTTCGTTAAAATGCTTGTTAAAATCGAATGTTTATCGGCGTATGAAAATAGTAGTAAAGTAGAGAAAAAATTCCCTGTTTAAAATGCATTCCTTTCTCGCAACTATAACGGCCAATAAATAACGCAGTCATAATTGAATAAAAGAAAAAAGAATTTCACCGCGAATCGGATTCAACGAAGCTACTGTGCACGGCGTAAAATTTTATCTGATTCGGGAGAGACATTTAATTTAAAAGCCTGGTATCACAGCAGCGTTTTCCGAGGATCAGCTTGAACGTGTGCCCGAAGGACGAATCGGTTACTCTGTTGTGGCGCTTGCAAATAAGATAACTATCTTCTTTTTTTCTTTCTTCACTTTCAATGGATCTTCCGCAAACAGATTGATCTCGTTGCCTTCGGTATTCCGTTACCGCCAGTTCGGTCATTATACAACAATGGAGAAGAAACGACACCACAGAGCGCCGGGGCTCCTTACTTACCGAAGCCCGATGTCGAAGATAATCTTGCATTGGAATCATCGCATACGCGCGTGTTGGGCAAAAAAAAATTGCTCGTCAGAAAATGCGCTGGTCACATGGGAGCGAACACCAAAAAATAAGGACATCGCCACGGTGAAAGATTTTGACCTCGGGATGCGGGTTTGAACTGACAATGCCAGCCTCTCTTTCAGTAAATAGGTGTTCCTTCGCGTTTCGACATCGAGCGACGAGCTAGTTGGAGGCCTTGGCTAATTGTTTCGTTGGAATTTCGGTTCGAGCAAGTTATCGATGACAATGCAAGTATGGATAAAACAGTACTATTTCACACCGCGTCGCTGGATTTGGATTATTTTTTACGGCTCGGTTATTGTGCGTTTATCATTTTATGATTGATGGCGCGACTTTCAAGATCTTTTTTTTCTTCGACATCTCTCCCGATGAAGATGAGCCGCTTCCTGTACGATTTCGTTCGTTCTGACTTCGCGTCGAGCCAACGTTTGAATCAAGCTTTTTTATTCTAATAAGAGATCAATCTCACTTAATGCTCCCGTAAGCGCCGTCAATTTGATGTAATTTCTTTCTGAAAAAATTCTCAATCGATCATTCATCGACGTTACAGTCATTAATATTCTACAATTACGCTATAATTATATTGATTTTGCTAATAATCCTTGACAATGTTATTATGAGACAAAAGATTGAGACCTTGGGTTCTTAGTTTAATTATATGTAACGTAGATGTGAAGATTATCGAATATTTGTGCATTTGATATATATATTATTTTATATTTGATTGATTAGAGGTGCATACGTACACCAAGCCGGGCTCTAAGCTCGTAAGTAGTCGCATGCCAACATAGTCGGCCATTTCATTCTCGAGTCGACTGGTCGTATTTTAAATAATTAATTGTGCTATAAACGCCTGACAAATAGAGATTTTGAAGAAAGAAACTTTCCCAATTATCGCGGCCTAATACGTAACTTTCGCTCGTGTCGAAAAGGAGAATAAAAAGAAAAATGACGCGCCCCGTTGGATTCACGTGATCCTATTGACTTGACATTATCCACAGGTAATTTGCAATCGCCCGCGGACCTGAGATAAATCATTGGTCACAGTCGTTTTCCTTTTCATCTCCATATACTCCACTGTAACGAATCCAATCAGGCATGGGAATATTTTTTCCTCCGAGAATCAAGAGTGTCGAAAAATTCAATGAGTCGGAGATGCGCACACGACGAATGGCTGTCGTTCCGAAATAGTATGGACTGTGTACAGATAAATAGCTCGTAACGAGCATGCGTAGGTGTATACGCACTATGCACTCTTTCTCTCTCTATCCATTTAATAAACCCATCTGACGAGTTCTTTTTTTTCATCACTTTCTCTCGAGGTCGAGAGGTTACAAATAGAAGAGACGCTCGGATAGAAAGAAAAAGTTTTTTTCCTTTAATACGTGATTCTATTAAACGAAATTGATTATAGGATGATTTCCCATTGAGAAGGAGAGCGGGGGGAGCCAGCGTTCATTCTCGGCATTGTTCAGAGCAGAAAAGAGACAGTGATAAAAAATGTCATAACAAGAGATGACACAAATAAGAGAACAAGAACGTGTCGCCGTGGGTACTCCGCGGAGTTGAAAGTGGATTTTGAAATAGCGTACGTAGAGGGGCCTCCTCGGCGGCATTCCATGGCGAAATCAACAAATAACGCCGGGATGGCCAATTATTTAGGGATAATTGACGATCTCGCGCTATTCCGAAGCGAAGAGGAAGAAAACGGAACTCGGTGAGATTGTGGCGAGCTCGGCTCGAGCGGCATCAGCGGCGCGTGAACTTCGTTGAAAACTCGCCGAGAATGTACCATTCGAAGGGAGTGCTGTGGACCGCATTCCAGCAATACAGAACTCTCGCTTATAAGGATGCTACTTGCACATTAGTAGCAATGGAAGAACGGTCTCGCTCTCTTTTTCTCTCTCACCGAGTTACGTCGCCCGCAATTGTTTGTCATCTGCCGACGAGCAGAGCTTTTTATTATATTTCACTCTCTTAGTTTTTCCCCACACACATTTGCGAGTTGCGTAATTGTTTAATTGGCTCATTATCGAACAATGTTACGGCTGTAAAATATTGATGGCTCTAATCAATTTCAGAGAGATTGCGCTGTGTCTAAAGAAGAATCGTTGTATCGAATTGTATAAATTGGAGCCAGCCGCCTCTATTAGTCACCTAATATATTGTACTATTGTATTAGACCTCATCAATAAAACATAAGACCGGCACCGTCAAATATTTTCATATGTATATACAGTATACACGTAGATTTGCGAGAAAGTCTGCCGCATCACCTTCACTTTCTTAGATCGAAATTTACCTCGTGCCCGCCGCCACTCCAGTGAACTCTTCTTCTCTCCCCGTTGTAGTTCGTCCGAAGCGCACATTTCAATACGTAAATATATGTAAATATTCACAAAAACATATTCCACTAAATAAACTTTGATATCTGACGTAATGCGGGGATTATTTACTTTGATGTTCTCTCGCTGCCGCAGGCTGTATGCTGTGCAAAAAAACCCATTGAAAGAAACGTTTTGCTTGCACATATATACCAATGAAAAGATACGCCAATAAACATTCGGATATAATATAGCCGTGTAGAAAGTCTTGTTTTTTTTAAACATTTTTAAAGACAATACTACAATCAAAAATCGGTTAGAAAGCGAATCGCTTTGAGTACTGTGTAATTAGTAATAGCGCTTAAAAATGAGTATGTAAAAAAACAGCGGATTCACGCTGCAAAAAAAAAAAAATGTGCGGTCCAGTTATACGATGTCCTCATCGTTTTACGAGAATTTTTAATGCTGCGAAATATACGTGTGAATGATCTTTACAACTTGATTCTCAGAACGAAAGAGGCTTCGAGGATCTTCCGCTCATATCAGTTGAATAACGAAAACTGTTACAATAACACTCTGCGTAGTGCTTCTCACTCTCTCTCTCTCTCTCTTTCTCTCTCAATAAACGCATATGTTGAAAAGTAACTGATTGCGCAAACAATGCGTTTTTATCTTGAAATAACATTCCTCTCTTGCGCGTACGGAGAATTTTGAGCGATCGATTGCGTACACGGCGTATTACGTTCGTAAGGTATGCGCATAAAGAAGCCGCACATGTATCCAATAAGGTTTTAAGATTCACGCCGATGTGCGATTTGCAAGGCGTCGATTCCCGTAAAGGTGTCGTTGCAAAAAAGTAATTAAATATGGTCAATGTTCAAGCAGATCCGAGAGCACGGCTCGAGGATGAATTAGCGGGACATTAATCCTCGAGAATCCCGAATGACCTCGGCGAGCGGCGATGAAATGGCATAAATTGGGTCCGCGTGAAGTGAGCGTCGCGAGCGAAGAGGCTTCGCACGAGCAGGCGAATACCAGTACGAACTTTCCACGAGCTCAGCCGAATGCCGCAGCCAGGACGACGTCGATGAGGCGTCGCGACGATGGTCGCACCGGCACGCACGTTCGTCCAACGCGGAGAATCGGCCCGAAGAGACGTTTTCGCGATGACACAATAGCGCCCGCCAGTGTCCCATGCGAGCGTCAGGCGTTGCGTCGGCGACGACGACGACGACGACGACGACGACGACGACGACGTGTCTGCCTCGCGGGGCGACATTCCAGCGAAAGGTCAGAGCGGCGCGGCGCAGACAGTCAGCGGAGAAAGTCCATCAAAAATCACCGCGGAGAGGTACCCTCGAGAAAAATGCCGCATGCACACACAGACAGACGTGCGACGCGGCAAGGATACGGCGAAGAAGAGCACGAGCCGCGTTACAACAGCTAGAAGGAAGCACACGTAGCGACGGAGAGCGCCGGGGCAGAGCGCGCGACTCGCCATAGTGTTACTTTCACTTGCATTCGCGCGAGAGCGAGCGAGGCTCCGTATAGCTCGGCGGTCGTGCTCTCCTCCGCGGAAAGCCTTCGCTCGCGCTCCCGACGTGTCTGCCGGATTACGCGGACGCGCCGCGGCGCCACGCAGCCCTCGTTCACACGTGCGCGCGCGCGCGCGCCTCAGCCGCCAGCTCCCTCGATGATTTCTCATGACGAGTTTCGACGAGCGCTCTCCTTGTGGGACGTGTTCGCGCGAGACGCCGGGCGCTCTTTTATAACGCCCGTGGAAGTCGATCTACGCGCGCTCGCGCTGCGAATCGGCGCGCGCTGTTAAAGCGTTCGCGAGCCCGACGGACGAGCCAGAGCTTTCTCGTTCCGATGAGCCGTGACGGAGCGCGAGCGGCCGGCACGTCGACGCAGGACAAGTGCGCGTCCGAGAAGGTTCAGAAGAAAAAGAAGAAGGAGGAGGAGGAGGAAGAGGCGAAGAAAAGCGAAAAAGGATGGGTTTTGTTAGGAGCGCGCTAGCGTTGTGTGACGTAATGAGAAACTTCACATCTGCCGGCGCGAGCGGCGAGTTAAAGTACATTCTCCGCGTGGCGGCCACGGCGGCGGCAATTCCCTACCACCTACCTACCTACCTACCTACCTATCTACTCCTCGCCAGCAGCGGCGGCGGCAGCGGCGGCGGCGGCGGCGGCGGCAGCAGCAGCAGCAGCTCTATAAGATTGCTCATCCTCTCGCTCTTTAAAGGAGCCTCACTTACACACTCGCAGAGCTCCAAAGAGAAAGGTTACAACGAGAGAGAGAGAGAGAGAGAGAGACGCGAATGAGATATTAAGGGAGACGTCCGCCGCTTCGCGAGGAGAGAAGGACGGAGAGAGGTCACATTAGAGAGGGAGAGCGAGCGAGCGCCAACACACACACAACACACCGGATGGTACCGCCGCAACTCTAAGCAGCCTCTTCTCTCTCCGAAACTCTATTTTCATACGCGAGACCGCCTATACAGGCAGTCGCATCATCGACTTCGCTTGGCGCGCACATCCAGGGAACCGATTCCGCCGCCTCCTTCTTCTTCCGGATTTCTGCCGCACGGCCACACGCTTCTCGGCCAGCTTCAATGACTGCCACTCTTCCGTAGAACCGCCTTTCCGACCTAGACAGCTTGGTTCATTTTTTTTTTCTCCGTTCGTAAGCCGTTTCTGCGAGCAGGATGACCAACAGTAGCAGCAGCAGCAGCAGCAGCAGCAGCAGAAGCATCCTCGTCTGCGCGCTAGGTGAGTTACTCGATTTTCCACTCGGCGAGCGCGCTTTAACTGTGTCAACGTGCTAACGACCCTGCGCGCCGCGACTGACTTATCCTTTCATTTTCTTCGCTACTGCACCCTACGTACGCTCGCGCCGCGCTTTCGCAAGCTTTTGCAACTCGGATAGAAGACAAGACGACGATCGTTGCTCGACGCGCTAACGAGGTGTCGACGCTCACGCGGAATATAATAAATATGCCGCGGCGCGCTGCGCCTATCCGACTTCGATCGCGAAATCAGATCGGGAAGCGCCGTCGGCGACGATCAGCCGAATCTCTCGCGCCGCGCGCGTTTCTCTTTCTTCTCGCGTCCCGACGGCAGCGGTTTCCCATTACTGCGATCATCGGGGGCACGCTCGTGCTCACGAACGCGCCCGTCCACCCCGGCGCGCCAGGCCCGAAGCTCCGCCAAAGCGACCAACGAATCTTCGGCCCCGTCGGTGTCCGTTGCGCCTCGCAACTATTCACCTTCCCGGGCGGGGGACAAGTGTGGCGAACGATACGCAACGCGAGAGACGCAGCGACGACCATATGTTATGCGCAAAGCGGATAATCTCGCGAGGATTTTGGCGTCAACGAGCTCGGACTTTTGTACGCGCGGAGTATCGTAATGCCGCGAGACTGCGCAGAGGCGAGGGCGGGAGGGGGGGGGGGGGAGAAAGAAAAGAAAAAAGCGAACGGCTCTCCGAATCTGCAAATGGATGAAGGTACGCTACTGCTGCGATATATGCGCGGTGCGACGCGGTTGTACGTGTAGGGAAGCGTCACTTAACTATCCCACGTAATCATTTCGTAAGACGGATTAGTTATTCGAATAATTGCAAGCTACCGTGCTCTCCTCCGCTATACAGCACGCGCGATTAAAATCTTTATCGAGCTTCTTGCGATTAGTATGACGTGTTTTTTCGTTGCCATTATTATTTATGGCTTCGCATTGTCTCCGCGCGAGACTTATGGATCGACGTGTTCGCAATACCTATTTCCTTTCGATACACCACGTATAATCATACGTATGCTCGCGGCGAACAATCGTTGAGCGGTCTCGGAGTTTGCGCGAACAAGTGTGAAAATATTACGTCACGCATCGGCGATATTTCCGTAATTTGTGCTAAATGAGATGAAAGTTTTAGAACTTTTGTGGAAGATTGGTGCCGCGGAGAAGTTATTTTCGAACAACAAGTGAAAGTGGAATATTTTTCAGTTTGCTGCGAAAATTTGTCCGGGAACGTTGCTGCGAGCGATCTAAAGTACATCGAAGCTCGTCGATCATTGCACTCGGAGGGTTTACAACGGTGCGCCGGCAAATTTTTAATAGCGCAAGAGAGGCGAAGTGTTGATCGACTGGGCCAACGTTGACTTTTCCCGTAAAGATTCGCCAATTATCTGATTAGCCGACGGTGAAAACGGCTAATTGACAAATTGCGTACTCGAAACCGTGCAGTTGGCAGTGTCGTCGGTTCGCAATATAAGCAGTCATTTGATACACCGCAAAACGAATGACAGTGGTTTTTCCTAATGGTATATACGTACGCAAAGCCAACTCGCCAACTCGCCGCGTATAATTATTGCATAGCTCTCGATGACCTCGAATCCAATAAGATGTGCTTGGTGAACGAGCCGCAATAGCGAAAAAGAAAAATCGTTAATATCGTTCCGAGAGAATCGCGCGCGTCCGCAATTAAAAACGCCGTCGAATTTTCCACTGCCGAGGTTTTCGTAACGCGGACGTGTATATAGTTTTGACAAACCTAGCTTTCAGTTATTTAGCGCCAAACAGATTAATACAGAAGTTAGAAAACCTGTTTATAGATAGAAATTACGTGACGCTTGATTATTGCCACGGCACTCGCTGCGCCGTACCTTTCTTTCGCTCTGTACGTGTATACACTTTTACACCGAAGATGAGCCATCTGCTTTCAAAACTCGTTACATAAATTGTAAACGCTTCTTTCCCTCGCCACCCTCCTTCTCGAGCCCGATAAAATTCTTCTTTTTTTTCGACTTCTCTAATTGCATCTATCGCTATATATTTTATGGCCGTTTGCCATTACGACTTAACAAAGCTGACGTTTGCCGATTGTATTTTTTGGTCGTTTAGCTGAGCTCCCGCTGCCAGTTTGTTATTTTAACGAAGCGAAGAGAAGCGAAAAAGCACGTCCGAGGCGATAAAGAAGCGAGCGGCGCGGCGCGCGTGAAGGAGAAAAAAAAAGAAGTAATGACGAAAAATTGGTACGAAGTAGCGCGCCGCGCCGTTTCATAACGTTCGCGCCGCGCGTAATTGACATAGTTGAGAGTCTTGATTCCGCGAGCACGGTTTTGTCGCGCGCACAGTCTCATTCCGCGCGTCCGCGCGCGTAATTACCGAATTGAGGATGGCTCGTTTCATCCGAGGAAAGGCCGGCTTGATTAAGCACGTACCGCTGGAGCGCGCCGCGCGCGACAAATTACACCTACGCACAAGTCCAGATTGCCTTTTCTCCCATTTGGTCCGCGAGATTTCTAACGTTATGTAAAGGACAAGAAGAAGAAGAAGAAGAAGAAGAAGGACAGAAAAAGACGAGAAAGAAGGTGGCGCAGCGCGTAGTGAAATAACGCACGGACCCTCGGCGACGACGGTGATTAATTTATTCCGAGCTGCGGAAGGAAGCGTCGTCCACTCTTCGACCGCGACCATAACGATTGAGCTATGCGCACGAGGCGCGGAGTGAGAGCGTCTAACGGGTGACGTCACTTCACATGCCTGACATCACTCGGCTTTTACTACTCGAATCGCACGCTTTCACACAATCATTTATTGCGAGCGCAGGATCATCCGATTGCGCGCGACGATATTCGTGCAGCTAAACTAGCTTCGCGTCGTCGCGCTACTCTTATCGGCGTTTCGCTCTTCTTATCGCCGAGAGATCGCTCGGCCAAGCTGCGATCCGCAAATAACAGTTGCAAATCGCTCTCCAAGATACGCTCGGGAGAAAAATGTGTGTTAAGAATCTGCCTTGGCAGTTGACATCTTCCACACTTGAACTTTCACTTTCGGTATCTCAGCCTCGATCTCCGAGCGCCAGCTACTCGCAAACGCTCGTCGCAAAAGCGCTCTCTCGCGAGCTTGTGCCCGTCCGCTTTTCTCTCGTCGCCGTGTTCGAATTGCAATTGACAATTTTTCGGAAAACTCTTCCGATGGTACTCCAAGTGAGAGCACATCGTTTGGTGGCTTTTCTTTTTTCAAGCGGCGCTAGCGTGGACCTGCGCGTCGGCTCTTCAGCGGCCGCCGCCGAGGTACTCCCAGCAATACATGCCGCAGACATCCTTTACGTGCCGCAACAAAATCATTGGAAGCTACTACGCAGATCCCGAAACCGATTGTCAACTGTTCCACGTTTGCGTGTCTGTTGCCGGAAGCATTCAGGACTACAGGTATGCTAACTATACGTACCGCTATTTAACATACAACGGCACGATCAGCGATAAATTATTTAGCAGTTTCGCGGAAGGTTACTCCTCTTTTTCCGTTTTCTTTTCTTATTTTCTTTTTTCTTTAAGTTCCCGAAGTTCGGCGCAACCGTTGAAAACGCGCTTTTCCATTATCAACAGTAGAATCCAATTCGGCGAGGGCACGAGAAATTTATTACTTGTCTTTCATCGTTGAAACATACATGAACTCGCGCATCAAACATTTATATCAGCGGAATTGTCAATCGATACTTTCTATTCGGCGCGCGGTCAACTAAAGAACAGCGACGAGCGTAAATGACGCTTGAATAAAACAACAACCGTGTAAAATTCTGGCTTGCGCAAGTCTCCTTTTCGGCGCTTTATCAAAACGCAAAACTTTCTCTCTCGGGAACCGTGGAAAGCGTCGAAAACGTTGCATTGCAAAGACGCAACGAGCAAAGAGCCTCGGGGGGTCGCGCGACTCCGACGAACCTTTCTCAACGCCCGCGGACTCGGAGATGACTCTGCACGTGCGATCGCACGCGCCGTGGGAGAGAGATCGACTAAAGCGACTGTCGACGCAACGCGCGTGCTGCGCGATCGCAGGTTCCTCTGCCCGAACGACACGGCCTTCGACCAGGAGAGCCAAACCTGCGCCGACTGGTACGACGTGGACTGCGAGGCCGCGACTCTCTACTACGCCAGCGACAACTTCGACCTGTACCGCATCGGCTCGGGTCTGGAGTCGCTGCACTACGACAGCATACGCAGCGACTACGAGCCCCAAGACCACCTGCAGCGCAGCGAGTCCAACGATCCGATTCGCTCGCCCTACAACAGCTTCGGCAACTCCAACGGCGGAAAGGACGTCGACCCGCCGAAGAAGAGCGGCAGCGCCGGTCAGCAGCAGTACAGCGCCGCGAGAACACAGAAGCATTACCAGGAGCCCGAGAAGGACAACAAATCCCAGGAGCAGCCGCAAGAGAAGAAGAGCAGCCTGCGCAAGGTGAGCCGCAAGCCGGCGCCGGCGAGCAACGCCTACGCCACCACGAAGCTGCAGCAGCCGACCACCGGCGCGCCGACCACCAGCAGCGGCCAGGCTCGCTACAATCCCAACCAGGCGTTCGTCTACAGCACGACCACGCAGCGAGCGAGCAGCGCCAACAGCCCCAGGATCATCACCTATCATCAGCAGGCCAGCTCCACGCAGAGGCCTACGAGTAAGCACACCGTGCCGGCGGCGACCACTCTCAGGTCGACCGAGGCCTACACCAACTACCAGACCACCACGACCAAGAGCACCTTCCACGGCGCCTTTGGCTTCAACCGCTTCGAGAGCACCGCCAAGCCCACGCAGACCACTCGCTACAGCGAGCAGCCCCCCAACTATTCCGCCCAGTACACCAGCCAGGCGCTGCCCTCGACCACCAAGCAGCCGCTCGTCTACGACTTCAACCAGCAGGCCAACTACAATAGCTACGAGAGCACCAAGCAGAACGTCCACCCCGCCTACAGCGTCCACAGGACGAACGTTACGTCCTACCCGTCGACCACCCTCACCCCCCAGTACCCCAACCACAACTACGACAATGTAAACGCCAACAACAACGCCAACAACAACCACAACAACCACAACAACCACAACAACTACCAGGCGACGAAGAAGGCCGACTACAACCAGAACAGCTACGCCACCAACACCTATGCCCCGACCACCTACAGTCCCGTCACCAAGAAATTCCCAAACCACCGGGCATTCTTCGACAAGTCGTCGACCACTCTGACGACCAAAAGCGCTCAGTACACCGACGCCGAGTCGACCAAGGTCACGAAGAAGGTCACCCAGTACAAGCAGAATTACCCCAACTTCGAGACCAGCACCAGGAGCTACGACTTCGGCAGGTCCTCCGTGGGGCTTGGCTTCAGTCCGTCCAGCGTCAACCATCTGGCTGAGAATGTCAGACCGACCACTCCGACCCCAAGGTAAGCCCATGCCAAAAATCGCGTCGTACGATTGTCTGACGACCGATGCCTTTGCAGACGAGCGGCCTCGCCAACGACCTACAATCCCAACAACTTCAACGTAAACACTCACGCGCCCCAAGTGACGCAGCCCAAGCAGTCGTACTACCAGAACCAGGCGACCGCCGCCAAGCAGCAGCAATACACCACCACCGCCAAGTACTACGAGGAGACCACGCTGCGCCCGAAAATAAGCAAGAAAAACGACTACGACTATGCCTATTACGACAACGATCCTCTTGCCTACGATAACATCGAATTGGAGCACGTCAACAGCAACAAGGAATCCGTCAAGATTACATAAGCACCCCACCACACTCCTAATCACGAAGCGCGACTGCAGATTCCAATCTGAGACAAACAACCTACCCCCTCTCGAACGTTTTCAAAATACATTTTTTTTTTCAATGAATATGGCCAGTTTTTATCGTAAACTTAATCTATTATAATTATTATTATTAATTTTACATCGTTGCCGTGCTATGTATGTGCCTTGATATATATATATATATATATATATATATATATATATATAGTGGATCTTATTATTCGAAAAAAAATATTTCGCTTAAATCGCGTAACGACCGTCCACTTTGTAATACCTTATTTTTTATAAATAAAATCTAAGTATTAATTAGTGATAGGTAATTAAAATACTTTTTTTGTATTCTCAAATGAATGACATTCGTAGATCGTTAAGCGACCATTCGACTTCTATACGTATAAATGTACATATAGCAAGCGAAAAAACTTGTTTCGTATTTTTCTATGTTTATTATTATAAAAAAAATAATAAATTAAAAAGTGTTTCAAAATTAATTGTTATTATTAAGATAATTACGATTGTATATACATTATCCTTTATGCTCAGATAAAATTTATGATTGTTTTAAAAAAATTTTTTGTCGCCTCGCTTAGACACATATCTCTTTACGTACTTTGCCAGTAATGAAATGTAATTATTCACATACAGTTGTCTCTGTCGTTATCCTTTTGCGGAAAAATATACGTTTTCTTCAAAGTGTTTCTATTAAACTATAAACTATAACGCAAATCGACTACACTGTTATCTCTCTATCATGTAACAATCGTGTTTTGATTTTACGAGAAAATTTTAATATTCACATATTCCTGCTAATGTAGATTTGACGTAATATTAAATTATTATTAAAAAAAATCGTTGATGTTGCTGTTCTCATTTGTTTTAAGTTTACGAAACTACGCGATGCTCTTTTATTCTATTTGTTCAGGAAAACTAAATTAGTTTTAGTAACGGTATAATATCCAATATTTTTAAGAAGCGTTTAAAGTTTGAACTACAAGCCGTTCGAACTTGTCGCGAAAGTTCGATTTGCAGCGATATAAAAGTCATGAAATTGATTGATACCAAGTCGTAAATTGAAACTGGTTTTGGAATCTGCCGACGAAAACTGGTTTGGTCCAGGGTCGTCGTTCGTTTACCAATGACATAATCTTTGAAAATTCAATACTCGTTTGTAGGCCATGCGGTATCGACTACTCATGAAATTGTAAAGCAGCGGATTAATAGCGGTACTCGAATAATAAAAGCAGCCACTGATGATGTACAGCCATTCGTTCATATCCGGATAATATTCGGCGTCGACCTCGTGCATATAAATGTATAGCAGTCGCTGCATGTGGAATGGCGCCCAGCATATGAAAAAGGTAATCACTACTGCGCCTAGGAAAGCAAAGCCGGCTCTTAGATTTTTGTCGCGAGTGCAGAATGGCACGACTTACTCAACATCTTGACGATGCCTCGTCTCGACTTGACGTGCTGAGCCTCTTTGTTAAACTGATTGACGTTAGCCTTCTTCGTTCCTCTCAAGCTCTCGTGTATTTGCATTCCCATCTTAGCGTAAAGGATCATAATGACCAACATTGGCACGAGGAAGAAGAGCATGGTGCTCAGCTCGTAAAGCGGAAAGTTCTTGGGCAGGTGTTCTTTCATCATGCCGCATATTGCCGATATATCCGAATTATTTCCAGAACCTGCAACGCTGACAAACTATTAATAGCGGCAAACGGTGAGTCTGCTTAACTTATAAATATTTACATACCGGGAGGATACTCTATGTAATTTATTGTGGTGTATATAAAAAATGGCAAGGCGCAGACCGAAGCGACAATCCAAGCCCCTATAATGAAACACACTGGTCGCTTCAAGCCGCTCATGGCGTTGAAGTGCAGCGGCTTGCATACGGCCAAATATCTTTCTATCGAGAACAGCATTATTGTCAGCACCGAAACGTACGATGACCTTGAACATTTCATTGCTTACAACACCTGTCGGCTTTCAATTGCTAATGCGTCAAACATACGTACGTCTCCGATGTGTATGCCCTTACTTTACAGAATAGCTTTCCGGAAATCCACGGATATTGCTGCCAAAAGACGCTCAATTCGTTTGGTAAACCTTTAACAATGGGGGGGGGGGGGGCGAAACAAGCAAACGTTTAGTGATCGTATAGATACTTGCCGAGACGTTCGTGTAACATTCGTACCTAGTAATAAAAGTATCAAGTCGGATACCGCAAGACTGAATAAATAAAAGTTTGTCGCATTCTGCATGGTCGAGTTGTTTATAATCACCACGCATGTTATTACGTTGCCGAAAATCCCGCATATGAATATGGTAGTATATACTACTGTCAGAGGCACTGTCACGTCGAGCGGCAAATATTGTGGCCCTAAGATATTTTCAAGATACTGAAGTTCCGTTAAATTTGTCCAATTTGCCGCGAGAGGCCCTGATTCCTCTATCAAATTCGTTATATTTTTCCATATCGGAAGTGGCTCCAAAAGTCCTTCGAGAACTTCAACTTCCGCTAAGTTTGTCGACGAGTTTCTCGTCAAGTCATTCGTCGAATTTAAAGTCGTCATGATCATTTACAATTCTTCGATGTGTCGGATGAAGAATTGAAATGCACAGCTTTTGGTCATTTTAACCGATGCCTCGATCAGAGCCTAAAACAAACGTTGAATATAACATTTTGTATCAAAGCATTATGTGATTCAGATCCTTTCAGAGTGTTGCAATATTCTGCAGACGTCAACGTTAAATAAATAAAAAATTTCCCCGCGAGTCTCTGACGCATTTGGAATCATCTCCATCATAAATTTAAAACACAAACTTGGGATGCGCTCTAAATATTTTCGATGTTATCACTTCAAACGTTCAACGTTAATTTTTTTCATTCATTGTTTAAAAGGCGATAAACGCTAGACTCGTAATTATAATAATAAAACACGTTAATAATAAGTTATGTAACTTTGATGATCCGAAGAAGTCTGATAAGAACAATAATATTGTATTAAAATATTTGTGCAAATTCCATAGTAAGTAATAATTTCATTGAACATGTATTATTTTATCAAAGATGACCATAATCCATTATCACAATATACCCGTTTGATCGAATTTTTTACTTTAAAATTAGATGTTATTAAAAAAACATTATCCTTAAATGTCTTGATCGCAATTACGCCTGTATGTTTTTACTTGATTTAATCCGGCTAAATTTACAAAACTTCTTTTATATAATTGTGGATGCAGATTATCCGTCAAAAATTACTGGATAAATTTGCCCACTATTGTTAAATTAAAAATTAATTAAAAACAACTTACCAGTCGCAAACATTCGTAACAAACGACATTTTATTTCATTGCCACCGACTTTGATCATTAGTAACAATTCTTTTATCAGCCTTCATAAAGCGAAATATTCACTGAACATCGTCGAGACAAAATCACAGCCACTTATTTCGTGATGGAACAAAAAAATAATTCTCAAACAGGTAAAGAGCGTGTAGCTCGGAACGTCTTCTCTTATCATTGATAAGAATCCCATATTTGAGATTTGATTGCATATTCGGCCTTATTATGTCTTGAGAAATTTATACCCCAAGAATTATGTGCTCAAACTTCTGCTACTTTATAAAACTATAATATTTTCTGGTGGCTCATTTATAGCCGTGAAACAAAAAACGAAATAAAACAGTTCATTTGATGTAATTTTCAAAGCAAATCTTTGCGCATAGTGTCTAAGGTTTCGCCTACGCTCAGGGAATAATTACTGGCAAATATGAAGCAAGTGTTTATTCATTTAGTATAATTACAATATTATACAGTGCAATTTTACAGTTTTACTTATAATTAGTGATAATAGTTGGCATAAATTCTTTACCAAGGGATCATGAATCATCATCGCGAGTGTACTATCAAGTGTTTAAGATTCATAGGGAACGATCATAAAGACAACCAAAGACTTTGAAATAGACTCTAGCTATTTAAATTAATAATATCGTTCAAAAGCTTTAATCGCAGCAACAAATATGAACAACTTTCATATTCTCAAAGCCCAGTCTTCTTCGTTTCAATTTAACCTTTCGTAAAACAGGAAAATACAATTGAAACTTGAGTATAGTGTATTTTTTTCATTGTTTATATACTTTTATATCACGGATGCCATCATTCTTTTGCGTGGAACGCTGCAATAACGTAAACATATCATAACAACCAAAGATGTAAAACATTCTGAATCGTTTTGATTAATGTGAATTTTATTATACTTTTAATATATACTATACAACCTTTACTACGTTCTGCAACTGACAAAGAAATTACTTATCAATAAATTAACGATCATTTAGTGACGCTTTCAATAGTGAGTAGCAGTTTTAAGTAGATTTTTCAAGTTCCACATTTTGGTGGCACGACGAAACCACTTTGAACGTGAAACTTTAATTGCTTGCCGTAGCCATCATTGCAAAGCTTTAAGAAGCGCTCCTCAATGATTCCAAATGTCTCCAAAAGTCTTGTCCTCGTACAGAGCGTCGAAACAATACTTATTTACATTATTAATCGAGAAAGTTTAATAGTGTATAAACGAGACACGTAGTACAAGTCAGCATATTTTGAATACATACTTAAAAAATGTAATAAGAAGGAAATATCCCTATCAAAATTGTAATACTTTCAAAGTTTTGATTAATGTATCGTTATTCATTAAGATATCTTAGTTATAACTATTAATGAAAATTATTGCAACAGTTATTGCCGACCTAAAAGAGCTTTTCTAAACTCGGCTATTCTATACTTGTTATTTTATCTTCTTAATGCATATATAAAATTGATATTTTGTAATTTACCATCTAATTTTTTTTGCTTGTTTATATATATATATATATATATATATATATATATATATATATAAATCGATAAAAGCAGTTACTTTCAAGCTTTGATAGTTGCTGTATAGGCATCAGAAGCATAATCGCTGTACTTTTGTCTTCACTGCAAAAGAACGACGGAAAAAAATGTCAATATACATTTGAAGAAAACATTCGAATTAAAAAATAAGCAGAAAAGAAAAACGATCGAGGAAACTTATGTACAGCGCAACAGCAATTTTTCTACCTTATTTGTACAATAATCACAAGGAACATACTCTTTGTAGTTATTACAAATA